TGAGGCTTTGACTGACCTTGAACTTGTGGCAATCCTCTTGTTTCTCAAGTGCTGGTATTACAGGCATAAGCCACCATGACTAGCTTATAGATAGATATCTTTAAAATATTTAAGTTCATTCAAATGAAATTTTGAAGAAAAAGTAGAGAAAATCCAAAAAAGAATTTAAAAAATCTATAATATCCCAAATGAAAGACAATCATTACTAAAGTTTTGTTGATTCCTTTATCTTGGAATTTGTACAGTATTTACACATATACATCATAAAGATTATGCAGTACAAAGAGATTTGCAACCTCAGTCTCCCACTCAATAGTTATTGTGAAGAAGTTTACATTCTTAAATAATAATGCTCTACAGTCTTTTTGTCTTTTAAAAAAATTATTGAGAAATTGCATACATGCACATAAGGTGTTTTGATCAAATCCATGGCCACTCCCTCCCCCTCCAACTCCTTCCATATCTCCCCATCACTTTTTCCTGAACAACTAACTTTTTGTACTTTCTTTATTTTTTATTTTTTATTAGATTTCTCCATTTTTCCGAATACTTTCTTTTTTTAAATTTTAACTTTTACAAAAAGTTTATTGAGAATTTCATACATGCATATAAGGTGTTTTGATCAATGCCCACTCCCTCCCCTCCAACATTCCCCCCTCTGAAGAGGTAGCCCTAAAAATTTTAAGGATCAGATATAAACTCCCAAATACTTTTGACATTTTTGGCCTTTGGAACAGAGTATGTTCTTAACAGACCCAAGGACATTTTGTCTTGTAGCCAAGAAACTGGCTACATTTCTTTGGGGTCTTTTTACCCTAACTGCCTAGCCAATTCCTACCTCCTATTCTTATCACACCATCCTCTGAAGGGGTTACCCAAACTGCCAATAAGGAATAGGGACACAGACCTCTCTGGCTTCTTCCAACCTCAACAGGGACACAGTGGGAGGCAATTGGGGTACCCCTTCAGTAGGTCTATCTAAAATACTCCCAAATTGCTTAACTCTTGTCTCTAAGGGAAAAAGAAAGTCCTTGAATTCTGAATAGGAGATGTGAAGGAGAAGTAAAGGCAAGAGTAATTAACATTACAAGTTCTAGACAGGGAACTAGAAAAAAGCCAGAACAGGGCAATTTTCAAGTGTTCATATGAAAATCCATTGGAGTTTCTTGACAAGGGCTTCTAAAAGCATCCCTCTATTGGGATATTTCTTTTATTTATGGTTCTTTTTGCTACTCTAACATTCCCCTCTCTGAAGAGGTAACCCTAAAATCTTTTAGAAGTTAGATAAGATACTTTTGACATTTTGGGGATTAGGCATTTGGGATTTGACATTTTAGGGATTAGATAGATACTTTTGACATTTTTGGCCTTTGGAACAGAGTATGTTGCTAAGAGGCCCATGGACATTTTGAATTTTAGCCAAGAAACTGGCTACTTTTCTTTGGGGTCTTTTTACCCTAACTGCCTAGCCAATTTCTACCTCCTATTCTGAAGTGATTACCCAAATGGCTGATAGGGCATTGGGATGAAGACCATTCTGGCTTCTTCCATGCTGAACAGGGACACAGGGTGAGGCAATCGGGGTACCCCCCTTCAGTGGGGCTAAAAGACTCCCAAATTGCATAACTCTTAACTGTAGGGAGAAAAGAAAGTCCTTGACTGGTCCCTAGGAGACATGAAGGAGAAGTAAAGGCATGAGTAGTTAGCATTAGAAGTCCTAGACAGGGAACCAGAAAAAAGTCAAAACAGGGCAAATTTCAAATGTTCGTAACAGAGTTCATTGGAATTTCTTGACAAGAGCTTCCAAAAGCATCCCTCTAATGGGTTCCTTCTCATTTTTCTTTTGTCTGCCAAGGCTGGACTTAGAGTGATAGATTCAGGATTTGTTTTCAGGCACTTTGATAGATGTTGGAGTGGCTAGAATCAGTGTCAGTTCTCTCAAAAAGGCTTCACCATGTTAAAGCAGGATCCAGGTGCTCTCAGGCAGTCCCCTGAGTTCTCAACCCCTGTGTCAGAGGGAGGACAGACAATCACTCTCTGGAGGTCTGCTGAGATCTCAGCCCCTATGATCTACAGTAATTTTAATAGATTAATTTTGTTTAGAATTTATGTTTATAATTGACTACTATTTATATGTTATTATAAATTGTTATTGTGAGCACGTTTACAGCAGAGACAGGATCAGAAGAAACAGATAAGAGGTTTTAAAATGCCTCATGGGGCTGGTGAGATGACTGTGGGTAAAGGTGCTTGGCTCCAATGTTGGTATTTGGGAGCTTTTATCTAATTTTTGGCTCTGATGACAAGAGTTCAATTCCCAGGAGCCACACGGTAGAAAGAGAGAACTAACTCCTGAAGGTTGTCCTCTCATCACCCCCATACACATTCAATCTGTCAGATGTTCAATTTTGTTGCATTCGATGTGAAGGAGAAGTAAAGGCAAGAGTAATTAGCATTACAAGTTCCACACAGGAAACTAGAAAAAAGTCAGAACAGGGCAAATTTCAAACGTTCATATGAGAGTCCATTGGGATTTCTTGACGAGAGCTTCCAAAAGCATCCCTCTATTGGGTTCCTCCTCATTTTTCTTTTGTCTACCAAGGCTGGACTCGAGAGTGATGGACTCAGGATTTGTTTTCAGGCACTTTGATAGATGTTGGAGTGGCTAGAATCAGTGTCAGTTCTCTCAAAAAGGCTTCACCATGTTAAAGCAGGATCCAGGTGCTCTCAGGCAGTCCCCTGAGTTCTCAACCCCTGTGTCAGAGGGAGGACAGACAATCACTCTCTGGAGGTCTGCTGAGATCTCAGCCCCTATGATCTACAGTAATTTTAATAGATTAATTTTGTTTAGAATTTATGTTTATAATTGACTACTATTTATATGTTATTATAAATTGTTATTGTGAGCACGTTTACAGCAGAGACAGGATCAGAAGAAACAGATAAGAGGTTTTAAAATGCCTCATGGGGCTGGTGAGATGACTGTGGGTAAAGGTGCTTGGCTCCAATGTTGGTATTTGGGAGCTTTTATCTAATTTTTGGCTCTGATGACAAGAGTTCAATTCCCAGGAGCCACACGGTAGAAAGAGAGAACTAACTCCTGAAGGTTGTCCTCTCATCACCCCCATACACATTCAATCTGTCAGATGTTCAATTTTGTTGCATTCACATTCCAAAAGAGAGGTCAATTTCTTCTTGGTGTCCAGGGATGCTTAAAGAGGAGTCTGGATCTAATTTTGTCACTCTTATGTCCTGGTGGGTGTGCCATTTTGCCTCATTGGCTTAGATATTGTGTTGTCTTAGGGAAGACATTCATCCTGCACTGCCTTTCCCCAGTAGGGGTGGCAAAGCATAGAGGCAGACCACTATTTCTCCACTCAGACTTTGCAACCACTACCCATGTGTGTGACCTTGGACAAGGCAAGTATTCCTTCACCAAGACACTGTCTTCATCTTCAACATGGGTAAAATATCTACCACAAAACTGTAGTGAGGGTTAGAAAGGTAAAAGAAATCAAGTGTTTGCCACGTAGTAAGTACATGACTAATAAATATGTTGTCCTAAATATTGCATTGTGTAAAATTCAGTTTCCTTAAATGACACTTCCCATCACTAGATTTATTAAAAGACTTAGATTTCCAGCTACTGATTTTAATAATTCTCTGAGTACTCTATTCTTAGAGCCTTAAGGCAGTTATGTTGCATCTGGGACAATATGAGTTGTACATATCTGTTTGTATTATAGTAAGACTTGGACATTTAAGTGAGAGACAGCTAAAGCCCCATGAAAATGGACTTCCAAGAGCTGGGGCAGAAATTAGACAAAGGAATTTGAACTGAACCTTGAAAGTGCTACTGAGTAGTTTTTTCTCTGGATAGCATAACACTTGAATAATTACTTTTTCTGTGATCTGCCTCACCACTTTATCATTAACTTTACAAATTCGATTGCAAGTCTTGTTCTTGTCTACTAGTTATACCTCACAGTGCTCATCTTATCAATGAATTTGAGCATCAAATAAAAATAATAACTGAGAGCATACCGGAAATAACAGAAAGGAATTTTGATTTTCAGGCTTAGTCCTATGGTAAAAGTGTGGCTATAGACTGATTTTATTTAATGTGCTGTCACTGTTACTTAGCATGAGGTAGTGAAGTTTTTGGATTGTCTGATAAAATATAGGTGACCCAGTAAAATTTGAATTTCAAATACACAATGGGTAACTTTTTAGTTTTTAAGCATATCCTATGCAATATTTTGGGCATACTTAAAAATATTATTTGATGTGTATCTGAAATTACACTTCTAACTGTGCTCGGTCTTTTTCCGTGCCCTATCTTGTAACACTGGTGCCTCTTAGATCCCGTTTGCTGCAAGTGGGATGTAAGCTAGTACTTCCTTAGGATCAAGAATCTCCTGTATAACAAGCCCTTACTTTACTTTCCAAATCCAACTACTTCCTTAGGAGACAGGTCAGACCTCCGAGACTGTGGCCCTGGGCTCACTCAAATACAGGCTGTGGTTGCTCTTTATTAGATGGCTTTCTGCAGAGGGAAGAGAAGGTTCATTAGATCTGTCTCTGGACCAAGTACAAAAGTCACGTTGAAGTCTGGCAGTCTTCCCCCAAAACCATAGTAAGAAATCCCAAACAGGAAAGCTTGGCTTTCTAGCCCACAGAGAAAGTGGTGTCTGGAGCTCTGCGCACGCGCGAAAGGACTTCCGAGGTCGCACGCCGGCCCCGCCCAACCCGGGGAGAGTCACGTGGGCCAGCCCTGAGGGCGCTGAGGCCAGGTCCCGTCACGTGACCGAGCCTGACCGGCGCAGGGATGGAGCCGGAAGAGAAGAAGCCGTTGTGGCGGCTGCAGAAGCTACCCCCAGAGTTGGGTCCGCCGGTGAGAGGGGTCCCCGCGCAGGGAGGACGGGCGGGCGCCGCGGAGGGGGCGGGCAACCCGGGCGGGACCCCACTGAGGCTGGGCTGGCGATGCCACGTCGGCGCGGGGACTTTGCCCGAGCGTCGGGGCGGGCCTGCTGCTCCCGCGGTCCCTAGGCCGCGTGGGGTGTGCGTCTGCTGGAGACCGTGGAAGCTACTGTCGCGGGGTCGTCGGGGTGATGCGTCCTCGGGTGCCGTTCATTCCTTCCGCGCTAGCCTGAAAGCTTGTGGGCTCGGTGCTAGGTGCAGGGCTGCGTGATGACCTGGACCTGGAGGGCGCCTGGAGCCTCCTAAGGAGAAAAGCTCTGGTGCCCACCAAGCAGAGTTAGGGTGGTCTTAAGAGGCAATGCAGCCTTGGAAAGAGACACACACAAAAGCAGGCTTGTGAGGACAGGATGGGTGGAACTGGCCTTATCGGCGCACCACCCCCTCCCCCGTCACTTTGGGTAAGTGGCTCCCAGCCTTTGCCCTGGCTGAACTTTTTTGGTAAGACTTGATTTTGCCACTCTCCCTCTTCCAAACTGTTCCTTTCTCATTGGGGAAAGTGTAGGTCCGGCCGAAGGAAATTTATTTAACTCCTTCCAGATCAAGAAAATGCATCTTAACAATTCTCTCTGATTTTACAAATGAGAATAGTGAAATGGCAGCAAAAGGTTTGAGTAATTTGCATGTGGTTGTCCATTCAGCCAGGGCCCAAAGCTACTCCAGGATCTTTGAACTGAGTCTTCTAGCTGACCATACGCCTTTGCACCTGATATGAATATTTACTATAGTCCCATTTCTAAATCACATTTATTAATATACTTTTTTGTAATAGACCAAAGCTCCATTGTGGAAGAGCCTTAGCTTATTGATCCTCTGTTTGCTTGTTTGTGAAATAAAAATAATCACAATACTTCCCTCATAGAATTGTTTTGAGGATCAGGATGTGCTTGGTGCCTTGCTAGGGATTCTACCCAGTGACTTTATAGACATACACAGGCACCAAGGATCCAAGTGCAACTAGTAATAGTAATAGATACATACAGATTAGAGATGCATGCGTCAACATCTCAGTGTTAGTAGCAAAAACAATGAGTCTTTCTGCAAGGAACAATATATTCTAAAATGAAATGAAGATCTTTTTTGAAGGTTAAAAACTCATTCTAATTTTATGTCTTACACGGCTTATACTGAGTTCAATATTGTATAACTGTATTAATTCAACTGTGAACCTAGAAACTTACAGCCACTTGTGAAAGAGATGTACTGTTGCTCTGGAGTGTGTTACTGAATATGTTAAAGCTGTAATGAAATGCTTCTTCTAATCATGTAGTTATCAAAAATTAAAAAAAATAAAAATTAAATTAAAAAATGGTATGTATTCTACGTGGATTCTGTTGTATTTACATTATATGTAATAAATGCAGTGAGCTGTTCATTACATTGCTATGAATGAACAAAAGGGTGTATTTTTATTTTTCTGTTTGAGTTCTGGGTGTTATTTTACTATGGAACAATGTGGAAGATAAAATATGTGTAAAAAGATATAATGATTTTTAAATTATGTTGGTTTATTTATGGCACGTAAAATACTATTTCATATGCATTAGCCAGTGTGTGGAAGGAGTCATCTCTTCCTTTCTGTGTTCTCAAATATGTGGTGTGACAGGAAAAAAGTTGTTTAAAGTGGAGTGGAGTAAGATCTAGGAGGGCAAGAGTTGACATTTCCCAGTTATTTGGGTTTAAATACTCCTCTTGTAAGACATCAATGTCACCTGAGCAAGGAGCTCGTATGACTATGATTATATAGACTAGTTCTAGTATAGTAGACACTCAAATCATCAATGTGGAAGGCATGGATTGTGGGAAATGGTAACAACAATGGTGCGAACAATATAAAGGCAGACGAATGATGTTAGATGTTTTGCACCTACTGAGCATGTGTCAAGGTGCTGTGCTTACACGTCTTTCTTATGACATTATGAGGACACATATGTTCCGTGTATACTTGCAGAAACAGAAGTGCAGAACATTTTAAAGAAAACTAGAAGTTAGTGGAACCGAGTCATACCAGTTCCAAAATCCAGTCTTCATCTTTTCGCTCAGTCATACGTGGTTTCCATTGCTGATAATAAAGCGGAGGAAAAGCACACTGAGGGCTCGCTTAGAGCTAGACAGTAAATGTGAATGTTGGGAAAGTGGAGGCAAAGCAAAATGAAGTGTGCAGAGCTGCAGTGAGAAATGATAGAAAAGGTATATCCTTTGGCTGCTGGTATAGATAGATATGTCTTGGGATCCTGAAGTAAAACTTTTAAACATGCCACTTTCAGGAATGTTGGAAAAACAATGGTGTATCTTAAATATTATTTTAGTTTCCAAAGCTGGACATTATAATGGAAAGTCTGAGATTTAACTGGATATGATAGCTCACATCTGTAATCCCAACACTTGGGAGGCTGAGGGGAGAATTGCCACAAGTTCAAGGCCAGCCTAGACTACAGAAATGAGACCTTGTCTCACAAATGAAACAGTAACAACAAAATCTTAAAAATGGTTACCTTTCTGTCTCAGCTGGTCTTATAAAGGGACATCTCCCAACATTCCTTTGCTACCAGGAAGAGAAGTCTATCTTACAGTTAAACTTACCATCCTTTTCTTTTCCTCTCTAGCTTCTTCACAAAATAATTGATGGCATCTGTGGTCGGGCTTATCCTCTCCACCAGGATTATCACAGTGTTTGGAATTCAACCGAGTGGAAGCATGTTCTGGAAGATGTTACCAAATTTTTCAAAGCTGTAGTTGGTAAAAATTTTTCTGACGAAGAGGTAACTTTACATATCTTTACCTAATAAATAATAAGTAATGCCTGGAGGTTTCAAAGTTGTTTCTAGGGTAATATTCAACACAAGACCTATCATCAGTAATTACTGTATATATTACATAATGATAAAAACTCATAATTTATGAGTAACCCATAAGATCCGAGGTTTTCTGGAGTTTTGCAGTTTGGTTTTGGTTATTTTTATTCTTAATGTAAAATGTTTAGAACATACAGAAGAGAACAGGAAGTTGAAGAGCCAATGCATATATTCCCATTACCATGATTAGGATTTGACTTTATGATGCATTGTTTTTACATCTATGTCAAAGATGATTTGAGTGTATTTATGAGTTGTTTAAGAAATTGAGTTCTATATAATTGTCATGTTGATTTAGTTGATATTCTGGGTTTGAGTTTCTTGGTGTATGTACATAATGTATTCTTGCCTTTTCACTCTCTTCATGATGCCTGTTGGTGAACAGTTCTGAAGGTTGATCAAATCCAGTTTCCCAATACTCCTTTTGATGATTAGTGCTGCTCATGTCCTATTTAAGAGATATGGAAATATCTTTGTATGTCTACTTGTGGAGGTTTGACTGCTTTAGCTTCCATGATTATCTATCTCTCAGGTGCATTTTGAATTAATATTCTGGTGTGGTTCAGGGGCTATGCTGAGTTTCTTCCCACCCACATGTCCTGTGGACTCACTGCCATTAATTGAAATGCCCATCTTTACCCCCCAAATTATTGTGCAATCTTTGTAATAATCAGGTGGCATGTATCAGGAGCCTGTCTCTGTTCTCTGTTGGAGTCCATTAGTCTTGTCTATTTGGCATTTCTAACTGTCGTAATTGTCATAGCCTTAAAGATAAACTAAGTTAAGTCTTGATGTCTGGTAGAAGCTGACCTTCAATCTCATGTCTCTTCAAGATTGCTTTGGCTGGCCCTGGTCCTCTATGTCATCATGTCCATTTCAGCCTAAACAAAACCTATTAGGATTTTGATGTGGATTGCACTGAATCTCTAGATTATTTAAAGGAGAACTGGTATCTTACCAGTACTTAGCCTTCTAGTCTGGGAACATGGGAAAGTCTCTAAATTAACTACCGTTTCTCTCTCAGGTTTTGTAATTTTTAATGAAAAACTCTTGCAAATAGTTGGTTAGATTTCCAAATAAATGGTGTTTTTAATACTCTTTCATTTGACTTTTCATTTGTTCATTGTTAATATGTTAGAAACAGTTGATTTTTATAGTCTTTCCCTGTGTCTAACACCTTTCCTAATTTGTTTATCTGCTTGTTAGTTTTGGAGGTGCAGGAATTTATATACAAGCCTTCTTTTCTTTTTTAAATTTTTATCTATTTTATTTCTTTTTTCTACCATATTGCACTAGCCAAAACTTGGATAGTAAATTTTTTAAAAACAGTGACAATAGGTATCTTTTTTACTCTTTGACCTCAGGGACTTTACTGTTTAACTATTTAGTCTATTAGCTGTGTGAT